AGACTTAGTAAGACAACATACGACCCTGACACACTTTGCTGATTTGAAACCTTGCAGTATCCTCTTGTTCTATTTGAAAGAATGACTATTGGACCACAGGCAGGCTTTACATGAGCCTAGTGAAGTGTTTTGGAGTTCCCATTCTTCACCATGTTATCCAAAATCTGTTGTGATCCACATAGACAAATGCGCTTGCACAGTTAATAAAACAGAGTTAAACACTATTTTGGTATTTTCTACTTTCAGACAGATCCATTTGACATCAGCAATGAATGATATTCCTTGTCCACATCCATTTCTGAATGTTCTAATTTATAGGGCTTCGCTATGCACAAACCGCTAAAGTTTTTAAATGGTCTTCATAAAGATTTGACTTGTTGAGTCATATTAATATTGTTGGATAATTTTTCCAATCTTTGTCTCATATTTCTTTGGAATGGGCACAATTATGATTTTCTTCCAATCGGCTGGCCGAGTGGCTGCCTTCCAAATTTTTTGGCATAGATAAGAACTTCTAGAGTTGCATTCATTTGTGTATTTCAATTGCTATCCCATCCATCCCTGAAGCATTTCTTCTGTCACCAATGCATCCAGGGCAGCGTGGCCTTTTTTCTTCAATATCACTGGTTCTTACACTTCCAGAAATGGTTAAATATTCGTCATTACATCGCCTATGTTTCCCTTTATTTTAATGCTACTTACAATATTAAGTATTTTGCCAATACAACCCTCAGATAACATGAGGCTTCATGCTCCGGTTGTTGAGATGCGGCACATTTTCTTGTAGGCTTCCGAACACCAACTTTTTGTCAATTTCATTGAAGTTTTTTATTCACCGTGTTTATCATTTCTCCCATTCACTTTACATTTAAGAGGATGTTTGTGAGTCTCATCTGACATGCACTTTGGTCTTTTCTTGCATTCCTGTCTTTTTAATTACCTTGTTTTCTTCATGTATGATGTCCTCAATGCTGTGACAAAACATGGCTGGTCCCTAGTGTCCACTGTATCAAATATATTCTTGGGAGAGTCTTTAAATTCAAGTAGAATGTATTCACAATTCTATTTTTCTACAGCTTCAAATTGAGTTTGCAAAGGAGCAATTGATAGTTGGTTCCATAAGCAGTCCCTGGCCTTGTTCTAACTGAACTTGTCTGTCAATTTGTTGTATTGTGTTTGCTGGTACGTTTCTGTGATGTTAGAAGTTATGCTACCAGTATTTCAAACACCAGCAGAGTCACCCAAGGTGACCAGTTTTCAGGGAGCTTCCAGGAAAAGACAAACTAGGAGGAGGATTTGGTATCTACTAAAACTATCCAGTGAAAACATTATGAAAAGTGTTTCACATAGTGCCCAAAGGCAAAGCCTTCAGGTAGATGTCCCTCAAAATTGTGATTGGAAGTGCTGCCTCCTAAACATAAATGAATACCTTAATGAGTGGGTGGAGTAAAGCTTGCAGGCTTTCATGTACTGACAAGGCACAACTCAACATGAGAACCACGGCAGGCATACCTTCAGAATTCAACCTGGGACGGCATGCAGTGAGAATCCAGGAAAACTTCATGTCAACAATGACACAGGACACATAAAAATCAATATTCTAGGCACTCATGAGCTGAAAAAGACTTTATTGGCTATTTTAAATTGGACAAACAAAGTCTGCCAGGCCAGGAATGACTAATTGAAGAATAGTGGCACAGTCTTCATTACAAAGACCACTTCACAATCTAAAGTGCAATGCAGTGATAGGACAATATTAATAGCAATACAAGAAGACCATTAATACGACTATTACTCAAATTCACACACCAGCCATTCATGCCAAAGAAGAAACCGAAGATTTTACTAACTTCTGCAATAAGAAATTGCTCAAACATGCAATCAAGATATATTCCTAATAGCTGCTGACTCAGAATTAAAAGTTGGAAACAAAGGAAAATGAATACTTAGAAAGCATTGGCTTGGTGACTAAAATGACGCCTGAGATGCAATACTAGAATTTGCAGGATCAACAAGTAACTTTTTTCAACAATGCATTGGATGTCACCAAATGGAATACATAGTTATTAAGTTGTTCTATCTCTGGTGCAGAACTAACTTCACTTCTACTGATGGGTCTGGATCCTGCATCTGGCTCATTGACTTCCTGCTGACCCCAGAAGCCATCAACAGCCTTCATTCAGTTCTACATCTACCAGCCTGTGGTCTTCCAGCTTCCAGTTCATCAACCCATGCAACATGAGCAGGAGACAACCGTCTTACATCTGACCCACTTGAACTGGACTGGACTTCCCACTTCTACCACTGTGAGTGCTATTGCTTGATATAAATCTTTCTATATACATAAAACCTACAAGAGTCACTGGTATTGTTTCTCTAGAGAATTCCACCTAACACAACCACCCATGTGTACCACAACAGAAAAGGACTATAGTCTGGCTGTTATCAGAGTTTGATGGGTTGGCATGCCATACACCAGTTGTTATATATTTTCAATACCATCTCTGCAGCATACTAATATGTAATTTTAAAAAGGTTTACTAGATCTGATCAATATTAAGAATTTATTTTAGATATTAAATGCCACTGAAGAAAAGAGGTAGAAATAATCCAACTTGCTCAAATAACTGTAATTCGTATTCATTGCTATGTAGTCAATACATGGGACACTTCCTAGTCCATAATAGGTACTCAAAATCACTACTGTATACACAAATACACATTGAACAATTACTTGGTCTTTACTTACTCAATTATAAAATGAGGTCAATCAAATCCTTAGTCACTACAAGTTTTTACAGTATAAGAAGTAGAGTTTAGTTCATTACCGATAATGAATGAACTGAGCAAAATGGGGGAAGAAAATCTCAGCCCATTATATCCAGACATTCCTAAAGATCAATCGCCAATAGTAAGAAAACAACAGCTTCTTTAAATTACTTTATTTTTCATAATATTCTAACACATGGTGTTAGAAAAAAATGAATTTTGGCACCATGACTTAAAACTTTTTCAAGTTTAACATTTAAATTAAAACAGTAGCTATAATCAGAATATCTAAACCTCATTCAGAGAAATTATTAAAAAATCAAGTCAACAAATGCTTTTACGATTGGGAATCTTTTTAAAAAGGAGATAAAGAAAGGTAATAAAGTCAGCGTGATAAAGTAGAGGCAATGAAGTAAAGAGAAAAAGTGAATAGTCTACCCATTCATTTTTTTAAAAAGATAATGAGAGACAAAAAATAAAAGGGAATAGACTCAATAACTTTATTTTCCTGATATGAAATTCAAGTACTTAAAAAGTCAGAAAAAATAGTAAAAGACATTACTATTTTCAATAAAATAAACCTTTTTTCTAGTATTAAAGAAGGAAAAAAAAACAGAGTTAGGGGTAACTTGCTGATCTTAAACAAAGAATGTAAAACATGGCCAATGCTTGCAAATTTTCCAATGAGAAAAAGTCACAATGAAATATTCACGTGAAGGAACATAGCACAAATAATACAAATATTTTAAATGTTTCCAACTAGGTAGGGTCCTCAAATGTGCTTTGCACTGTTTCATGTTGAGAAAACATTTTGTGATCTTGGCCTCTGTGCTCCCTTAGCAATTGCTGAAAAGATACCAGCAGGAAAACGTATTGAATCGCCTAGGAGTTTGCTTAGCACCTGATTCCCATGGGTTCCTACTGACTTCCGTTCATGCCCATTTTGTCTGCATGTCTGCTACATACTGATAAATAAAATTCTCTCCAGGCTTTCCTCAAACAAAAATCAGTACTAGTCTCATTTATCACTTGCATATTTATACCTAAATAATTTATCAACTGAAACACAAATGTAAAAAATTTGTCATTATTCTCAAAAACAATAAGGCAGAGAAATAAATACTTTCATTTCCTTCCTTCTTCAATCTGCGTTTTAAGGCTCAGAGCAGATATTAAGAAACATCAAACAATTATTTTGTAAAAAGTTTTTTAAACATTTGGCCCAAAGTGAAGTTGTTCGATTGAAGTTTTTGAAATATTCCTCTCATCTTCTCAAGCACAGCTTCAAAGGCATGCTTATGCCAGGCACCCATTGAAAAAGTGAGTGATTCAGGGATCTATAAATGACACTGCAATGTATCTCGTTCCATTTTTAACTGGAAGTCCTTCGTGCAGATGTGTAAGTCTCCCAGGATGCATGAAGCTCCAACCTTTGCGTGGTGACTCAATGGAGCAATTGTACCTCAGAAACTTACATCCACCACCCTAAAGAACAAAGAGATGTATCAGGTTATCATTTTAATGTTTAGTAAATATTCAAATTATGCCACTGGTGGTAGTTAGGTATTTTGTCAACTTGGCTAGGTCGGGATTCTTAGTGGTGTAGCCTTGTAGTCCTTAAGCCTTTGTTGTAACCTAACGCAATGCGATCACTCCTATAATTTGATTTTCTCTGGGAAGTCAGTCATTTGTAAGATTAGGGTAGGATGTTACATCCTCCCTCAGATCACAGCCCTAATGTAATCAAATAAAATGAAGTTTCTTCTGGGTGTGACTTGCTACCCATATAAATAGATGCTCTGGAAAACCTTGCTTGCCAATCCTGGAACCTGTCAGCAGCCTGACCTCTGCTGACCTTGGATCCATTCACTTCTGAACTCATCAGCCTGCATAATCTTGGGCTCATTAGCCTACGTAGCCAAACAAGTCAAGAGACGCCACCAGCCTAACATCTCGTCCATGGCTTTGGATGTGAATCTCTCTACACATATCCATGAGTCAGAGTTGACTTGATGGCAGTGAGTTTTTGAGACACATCACCATTCTGTCTTCTCTAGAGAACCCAGCCTAAGACATATCCAAGTAGTATCTTCTAAAGAAGCTAAGGCAAAGGCATTTCCAGAATGACACTTATTTCTTCTTGAAAGTGTGAAGAATAGGAGTCATAAATACCTGAAAATCTTCTCCCACACTATTGAGTGCAATATTGATGGTAAATGTGGAAGCATCGTGATGAGGGCGAAGAGAACGCTGTCTATCAGGTGAGTATTTTACTACAAAGTTCAACAGTGCAAACCCCTAAAAAACAAAGTAATTCAGAACATTTGCTAATCAGTAAAATTGGAGGGGGGGGAGACCCACACACACTTGTGTAGTGACTGGCAGGAAGGAGTATAGGGGTAACTACCTTTGTATAATAGCCTGCAAAGACCTTCAGTGTAACAGGTGCAATAAACTCCCGGATAAAATGCAGCCAAACATTCTCCAGATCAATTTGCTTCATGTGGATATCATCCGTTGGGACATTTTCATAACCACCAGATATACGGCTGTCCTAGAAACAGCATTAATGACATCAAAAAGTAGAGTCTACAGGCAATTCACATTTACATTATCTGGGTATTTTTAACTGCAATATCATAATAGTCACTAAAAATAAAAGCTGTTCAATTATGGTATGCCATCTACTTTAATTGCAAAACTATCAAAATAACTTAGTTAACACAGCTTTGCAAATATGTCAATGGTAATTCAAAATATTGAAGAAAAAATATATAATCTTTTTTTTTCTACTTATTTCATATATAGAGGTTTGAATGTAACGCAAATAAACTTTACTTTCTAAGCCTTCTTCTCCACTGAAAATTAGTTGCTGTTTTTAAATAACCACCTTTCAGATAATCTCAGCTACGTTATGTGCAAGCATTCTACTTACCTTCCTTTTAGCTAATCTAGCCCTGAGAACAAGCATCCCGTTATGCTGCTGACTTCCGTTTAGTGGCACCCAAAGACCTTCAGTGATTTCTTTTTATTGCTCTACAGCCAACTGACTTAGAATTGTCCCGCACACTTTGAACTTCCATTTTTCTGCTGAACTAGCTAGCTAAGGGCATTTATTGAGCAGAAGTGTAACTTTACAGGGTATTTCACTAATTTTTTTGGTATTAAAAAATGTTTTTGTTTTAAGCAGCTGACATCAACAGGTTCTCAGAAAGAAGGAAGCACACCAACTACTAGTAATGCTTCCTCCATAGTGGTTGCCATGAATGTACACGCAAAACTGAAATACACCCAAAGTATTCAAACAGATTCCCCTCCTCCTTTCTTTACACGAATAGTTTGAGGAGTTAACTAGATAAAGGGTGTTTTAGCATTTAAAATACAAGTCCCTTAAAGAACGTAACTTAGAGGGTCACTGAAAAAGAGAAAGCCCTTGGACGAGGCGCACTGACACAGTAGTTGTCACAACGATGCTGAGGCTGGTGGCTGATCGACTGGTGGGGCTAGTTCTGTGGGCAGCGGTCACTATGAGCTGAAAGCGACCTGAGAGCACACAACGACCAAGCAGCAGCAGCAGCACATGCGCGTGGGCACGGAGGGAATCAGATTAGCTCGGACAAGTGTGCAATCACAGTGCAAGCACGCACTTTACCTTGTACCACTGACTTTACATATTAGCCAGCATAATTACACATGCAGTCGAACAATCAACTAGTTGCAGAATTGGATCTCAATTGGAGTTCTCCTGACACCTGGGCCAGCTATGTATTTTACTTATCTCTAGGACTCAGACGTGTATGATCATTGGTAATCTACACCTACACACACACACACTTTCCCTTTTGATTGGTGAAATTACAACTTACATGATGTTTCCCCCCAGACCACTGGCCGTAGTGCTCCATTTCTTCCACCAATTCATCACAGGCTTTTTCAGAAAAGATAGGGAACCAAAAGACATCCGGACACGGCTGGAAAATGTGGCATTGCCATTAGAAAATGAACACAGTGTGCCTTTTAGTGAATGGCATTCAAGAGTGAAAGGACAGGCTATTCACGCATCCATCTGATTAAATGTCTTTTTTGAGTTTGCCCGACACTATTGGCATGTCCTGTTACAAACTGGTCAGTAAGGTTTTTTCCCTTCACATGTTAATGTCCATGAAGCCAAGATGTGCTATCGACCTATGTCATCAACTGGAACTGTGATGCAGCTGTAAGGCCGATGTACATGTGTACTTGTGTTTGTTGGGGTGTGTTTAGTTGGTGCTTCCCTTGCTGATTTGCACTCTGAAATGTTTTAAAAATATTTAGACTATGATTTGTCATTGAAACGGAGGTCACTTTGCATACAGTTTACTCAGACATATGTATGATAACACTTAGTCTTAATTAGGCGCCCATATCTTTCAATAAGTTTCAAATGAACTACATGATTAGAAAATATTAGACTACAGCTTTTAATTGGCAGTTAGTTTTTTCTTCTGTGGTACATAAAATATTCTAACTTTTAGAGTGGCTTAAACCTTACATAATCTTAAATAAGGTATCAGCAATAGTTCTAAACTCTAAAACAGAATTCATCTTTAAAAAAAGAAGTTTTAGAGCAAATATTCTTGGAGCTCCATTTCTTTCAAACACAAACTTTTATTGCAAGAGTTCTATGTCAATGCTCTCTCCATAGTTTCTCTTAAGTGGTTTCAGAGAGCTTGTGAGTTAGTCAAAGAATAAGGCCTTTCGAGCCATAATCCAACGACCCTTTCACAGAGGTTGCCTGGTTCACAACAGCAGCAAAATTACAGTTATGAAGTAGCAATGAAAATAATTTTATGATTGGGGGTCACCAAAACATGAGGAACTGTATTAAAGGGTTGCATTAGGAAGGCTGAGAACCACTGCTTTATGTGATATGAGATACTGAGAACCACTGCTCTATGTGAATCAAGCCACTCTCTTTGTATAATGGTTATCTTGGTAATTGTTACTTATAAAGGATGTAAGGAATGATATGCTATAGCTGAAAGGAGAAAAGCTGCTGCTTGAGTGGCCTGAGGAAGAAGCCTGTCTGGTTAGGTTTTGTAGGAGGCCAATGCCGACTGGAAACCACCTGCCAGAGGCCCTACATCCTATGTGCGTAAATAAGATACAGTTCAGGAGTGGAAAACAGCTTCTTATATATTTGGGTATCATTAAAAGATGGAGAGCTCTACGTTAATTTGATTGCACTAATAATACTCAATTTAATTCTAACCACAGGACTTTTCCCTACACTGGGCTGGTAATAAGGTGGGAAGATACTTCCCTACAAAGCCATCCTGCTGCATATAAAATGAGTCCTCAGAGAAGCAGGGGTGTGATCTTCTCACCGGCAAGAGCCAAGAGTGGAGCACAACCTCTGGACACAGCACTTGGCTTACCCTGCCTGACCTGTGGATTTTGAACTGAACAGTACCCACCACCACATGAGGCATTTCCCCAAACTTCCGTGAGTTTCTATGAGATGCTGCAATGATTCCCAGAAGCCATAAATGTGAGGGAATACACTGTGGAAGGGCGGGGGCAGGAACAGAGATGAATAGCATCATGAAAGAGTTGAACATTCAGGGCATCATTAATCTCCAACTCTTTGGGACTAGTCTAGTTTTAATTCTTCCAAAACAGATTATTAGCACAGCTTGACTACTTGGGAGTCTATTTAAAAGAGTCACGATCTTTAAATTATTGTTAATCTCCACATTTTACATATTTATAACAGTATTGATAAAACTGTGTAATTAACAACTGATTCATATAAATTTTAAGATAGGGTATTGTCTCCACTTTCAAACCATTCTGCCTAAACATGCCTACAGCAATATCTCCTAATGGAAAAAGAAGCAAAAAGTCCTACACTTCGCAATAATTATTACACACCTGTTCGACTAAATTTTCAGTGAAAATCTTGGAATAATCACGGCTTATATATTTTTCCTTCCAGTCCTACAAAAAAATTGATAGAAATTAAAGCAAATGCCTTCTTTGTAAAGACCTTATTGGAAAACACAAAGTATGCATCTTAGAAATTGTTCAAACAATTTGTAAATGACTATACATAGGGGGTTAAGAGAGGAACTTACAGACAGCACAGCTTATGCTTTAGTATTTGCCAGATTCTGGGATGCTCACATCATTCTCAAGGAGAAAAAACATTCCCCAAAGAACAAAAGTCACGGCCGTCGAATCACTAGTGGTTTCACAGCAATCCCCAGGACAGGGTGGGGCTGTCCTGTGTCTCCCAGGCTGTCCCATCGTGGGAGCAGAAGGAGGCGCTAACCGAAGACATCTTACCAGGAAATCAGAGTTACCCAAGAAGTCTAATCACTGCATTTCTCAAAATACCAGGAGGTTCAATGCCAATGTAAAATATGCAATTCTACCCTCACCATGAAAAGCCTCTTTCAATTCCACTTCAGTGAAAGATGAAGATATGCACCCAAAATGGAACAAAAGTACTTTTAAAATGCAAAAGTGTCAAAAGATATTCTTTTCCTATTCAAAAGAGTATTCAAAGTAGATTAGATTTACTATTGCTGGATGTCAACTCTGCCTACAAAGTAAAAGATAAAGGCCAATTCTTATCAAGGGGATTAAGTCTGTATAACTTGAAACATTTACTATTGGCTGAAGAAAAGCCACAAACAGTAGTGCTACAGCAATGAGAGATAAGTATTCAAATGTAGTTTCCCTCAAATACATGTACCAACTTGACTAAAGAAGAGAAAAACTACAAGACCAAAAATGATTGAAGTCTTTTTTTTTAAATTTAGACTTTAAAACAAATGGTTCATTCAATTAGGACTTTAAAAATATGCCAAGTCAGCTTGTTTTGCAATTTTTTCTCTCCCTTATCTTTGGTATAAACCTCCCAAATTGCTTTAAAATATAAACAAGATGACAGTCTATTTCCCACACTAATTTATGAAATTTTCTTTATATTTTAACATACAATTTTTATAAGCATTTTTCCCTGAAATCGGGATTGAAAAATGAAAAGTACTTTTGAGAGCACAAAATTGAAATACTAGACAAAATTACAGGAATTCAACAATTCCTATCTTCAAACCTAAGATGTCTTAATGAAAGTATTTCTTGGTACAGTTGAGACCTAATCTAAAGATCATAAAATATAATTGTCATTTTAAAAGTCATTTAATATGGTTTTATTAGTTGATTGATTTACATCCACTTAGTTATAAGAAAATAAGTAAAAAATGAAGTTCCAAATAAAGTACATACCACAGGATTTTCAAAGATCTGCCAGAAGTCATTGTTGTAATGAGAAGTATTGTAATTAGCAGTTGATAAAAGCCTTCCAAATTCATGTCTATTAGAAATGTACATAAACACACCCTATGTGCCAAAAAAAAAATAGTATTAACAATTTACAGTAAAATACAATAAAATAAATTTAACCATGGGAAAAACATGAAGATAATATGGGTTGGAATTCATGAATATGAATTCTTATTTTTCATACAAAATCATGCATAAATATAAAATAGATGAAAAATGTGATTATTAATTCAGGCACCACACAAAACTGTTTGGCAGTACAGACATTCAACGGAAGAAACAAGAAGACTAGATTGGCTTTGTCCCTTTCTCATTGATTCTAGATGTGGACATCCGAAAATTAATCCCTGTTTGGAAACAGAAATGTCCTGAGACACTCCAGTGTGGTGAGTGGTACCTCTTTTCAGCTTCTTTCTGTTTCAAAGAAGCTATTAAAACTATTATCACATTTTTAAAAGAGAATTAAAAATGTTAATTAGTATTACATCAGTTTATTTCATTCGTTTAGTTGTCCTGATGTTTAAAACTGAACAGAGTAATTGATAAGAACCCTGTATTATAAGGCAGCTGAAGAAAACCAGTTTCATATCTTAAACTCCAATCAAGTAAATATAGTAAACATGACCAACATGCTCTTTTGTACCTGTTTGAATAATAAAAATGTTAGTGAATGAATTTTAAGAAATAATGAAAAACATCCAAACCTTATCGCTATGAAGATATATATAATAGCCACTCCTATAAATTTCTCATTATTAGAGGTAAAAAAACCAAAATGCTAGAGAAAATAGTGAAAGGGACTCATGTTTAGCTTTCTCACCTTTCAAGTACAAAATATAAGCCGGCAAAAACAACCAAGTATTGACTATGGTATGCAAACAGGCACACACACACATGCACATACACCAATTCAAAACCAATGGACCAACATTTTAACATGCTAAATGGAAAGAAAATTCTTAAAGATATTTTAAGGCATGAAATATACCATATTTATTATTACTTAAATAAACGAAATAAATAAATAAATAAATTAAAATAACACCTTTGGGGGGCTGAGCATTTGGAATGTTTCCGGAGTAGGGGAGTCTTTTTCCCTTTGCAAAGTCTAAAATGAAGAGAGGCATTGGGTAAGTCGACCTGCACACGCTCGCTCAGTACTCTGAGGTAAACAAAGACAGCGGCCTTTGTCAACAGCTGACATTCGGAAACGCCCTTTGTAGACAGCATGCAGAACAAGCAAAGCTCACAGCGCACACGTAAAGAAAACTCCAGCCCTTTCCTGCCTTTTTTCCCCCATCAAATAGTAATCCAAGCTCATTCTTTAGCAGAACGTACAGAAGATATAAAATTAAGGAAAAGGAAAAAAAATTAAGTAAGAGAGAGGCCATTCCAGGATGCACTGTTGGGTCAAATTAGCCAAACATGAGCACAAATTCTAACCACGGGTACTAAGGATATTCAATAACACAATGCACATATGTTTGTAGGAAAACAAATATATTCAAACAACATACATGCCTTGTTAAAACAAGAATAATTAATAAATACTTGCCAACTTTTCTGTTTTCCCCAAATCAAAATTGTTTATATAAATAAAAATAATCACATCATGTTTAAAACAGTCACATAAATATGTCAAGACATATTTATATATTTTGAAGTATAAACTTTATTTTCGTTTATATTTTATAAACCCATACTTATAGAACAGCAATGTTATTAATTTTTCAAATGAAAAAAATAGATGACCTATCTCAATCCTTCTCCCAATTTAGTCCCAGACTTGTTTTTTAAATGTGTGAAATTAATAATGATCCAAAGGTATATCTACTTAGAGAAAACAAGGACATTTATTTCAGAACAAATGTGTATACCTTCAAAATATATAAATGATCATTTCATCAGATCTGTAATAAATTTTAATTTAGTCTCATTTGCACTAAAGCTGTACAAATGAAAATTGGGATAAATTCTTAAAAGTGCAAAGCTGATCTATAGGAGCTTCGTATCCACTACTGAAAAACTCCTGTTGCTTATGAACTAGCCTGGGCAGCAAATCTAACATTTCCAAATTTTCCTCTCACAATTAAATATTAAAAAGTATTCTCCAAAAATATTCTCAATTTTCTAATATGTAACAAAAAAATTGGCCAGTACTTTCAAATTAGAAAGAAAAACATCAAAAAATGACGACACACTTGGTAAAGCAAGCCCTGTCAAGAGAACATTCAAGCAAGCTATCCCTGTCAACTTACCATTTCTCTAGCATTTCGGCAAAGAGCCATATCAGGATCCAATTTATCTCGAACAAAATAGTTCCTTTCATTCATTTCAGATCGGAGTGTCTCTCCTTTAATTAAGTATACATTGGCCATATATGGGACATTCCAAACACCTCTGGAAGTGAAAAAGAAGATACCCCCCAAATTACCACAAATACACACAAAAAGTGTTTCATTTTTAGGTTTTTAAAATAAAGTATGTATATTTCCAAAAGTTGTATATATACACTGTTGAATAAATTATGCAAAAACACAATCATAGTTGACATACATGAGTCTAAATGCAGGTGACATTAAAATTCTGCAGCCATAAGTATATGTATGTTAAATTTTACTTTGATGTTTGCATAAAGAATTTATGAAAATAACTCTCAAGCTAAAGGAATTTACTTGGTATATATACCACCTGAAACTCGGGAAATGAGTCACTATCTTTCTTGTTAACTTGATTCAGGGGTGGGAATCTGTTTGCCATTTGCCATCATTCCCCAATTGGTCAGGGCTGGTTCCCATGGTCCGAAGAGCAGCTCTTCTCAGTTCCTGCTCAGTGCCCTCATATTTGCATACTGGCACCAGCATAGCAGAAATAATTACACCACAAAAAGGGGCAAATGCACTAAATCAGAGCACCTTATACCCCCAAGTCAGTTGCTAGATGCTTACCAGGATAGCACTGAAAATAACCTAAAAGTCTTCTAAAATATACCTCCTTGAAATGCATTCGTCCACTTCGAGTCATGATGGAAAAAGGAAGGTATGAAGTCATGCTGTTGGAAGCACAGGACTATTGAAAGACACTTTCAGGGGCCGCCTCCTTTCCTGGGCCTGCCTACTCACTTACACAGAAGGATAAAAAAAGCTTTGTCTAAATGGTAGGGCCAGTCACTTTTGAAAACAGGACGGGAATAAGTTGACAAAGGAAACCCAATTACAAAAGTATACTGAAGGGAATTTGATATCATTGTGTTTTCCTCAGCCAGTGTCAAAGGAAATGGTCTTCCAGAAAAGAATGCAACGTGTCAGCTAAAGAGAGGAATGAATCACTGGAATGTGTGGTGCTGCAATTTTGAAGGAAAACAGATCTCATCCACACACACATGCACACACCCTCATACACATAACCTAAAATGTCATTCTTTCACGTCACTTTTAGACACGAAGGCAGTGGTTTTCTCAACCTTCCTAATGCAGCGGCCCTTTCATACAATTCCTCATGTTTGTGGTGACCCCCAACCATAAAATTGTTTTTGTTGCTACTAAATATCTGATATGCAGGATGTATTTTCTTTGCTATGAATTGAACATAATTAAAGCATAGTGATTAATCACAAAACAATATGTAATTACATATTGTGAAGTATTTGTGTTTTCCAATGGTGAGAACTGCTGTTTTAAGGGATCAAATGTGTATTCTTTTCCTCATCTATCAGAAAACCATCGGCAGAAAATGCCCTGAATTTAAAGCAACTTAAATGAAACACATTCTCTACTTTAGTTCCATGAACCCTTATTCAGACACAGGCAGTATCAGGGACATGGTCTCATCAAGGAATCCTGGAGTCACAAAATATGTTTTTAAGCAACAGATGTGACCAGAAGTGTTTCTCACTATCATGCTTCTTAATTACTGTTAACAAAATCCTTTCTCATACGTCATTCATATCTAAGTTTTGTATACTACACCACTTAACAGTTTAAAGAGAAACATATAATTTATTTTCTAAATTGAAAAAGAGAAGCTTATAACAATGACAGGATGTTTTTGGCTAAGCTGCCTTGTCTGAGAACTAAGACCAAACACTTAATGACTCAGTTACATCGGTCTAGGTTTATTCTATAAAAAAGACAAACAAACCCACACAAAAAATCCCCTTCTTCTCTGATGATTGGTTATCAAAATGATCTCTATGATCATTTTGTAATTTAATATATAAAATGTCATCAGTGAGATAAATATCAAGCATATATTCACTTTGTAAGAAGTATATATTCCTTCAAACTCTGAGAATACCAATCAATATCAGTAAAGAAACAAATCTTTAAAAGTCCAATCTCCAATAAAAACCCCAACTAATATTAATAACTCTTGGGTAGCTGAGGTTGTGTTCTGCTATCTGCGCTCTTTTTAAAACCTACCAGCACAACCTTCACCCTGGCCACCAAATAATAAATTAACTAAATTTCCTTTGCAAACCTTTAACTAAAAAATGCTACGTTTTTGTGGACAAGAAGATGTCTACTCAGAGCTATATATTGTCTCTTGGTATTTATCACAGTAAAATTTTATTCCTTTAAATATTTAGAACATAAACAGTTTTAAGCCATTAATTTCATATTAGTATTTTGCAGCATGTCAAATAACATTCACCTTCAAATACTTTCATTAGATAGAGATAAAGAAAACAAAACACATTTAAAAATAATCAAACATTAGAATGATCACATATTTTTAGATTCTGGTGCTTTATATACAAAAATGGATTAACTGTGGCAGCTAGATTACATGTCACCTTGATTTTGTGTGAATGTAGAAGGAGCCCTGGTGGTGTAGTGGTTACTCATTGGGCTGCTAATCACAAGGCTGGCAGTTCGTAACCACCAGACATTCCTCAGGAGAAAGATGAGGCCTCTACTCCCATGAATTACAGGGTCTTGGAAACCCACAGGTGCAGTTCTGCTCTGTCCTATAGAGTCACTATGAATCGGAATCTACTCATGGCTGTGAGCGTGTTTTTTTGGAGTTTGATGGGGTGGAGACCAAGCTATCTATCAATCAGGGCACAGCCTGCTGATGCGTCCTTCGGGTTATGTGACCTTTTCTACAAGAGAGACAGTGAGACCTTCCCCTCTCTGTCTGTTTGCCTTCTCCCTCACTGGGACTCTGCACCTCTCTCCAGAGATGGCCCCATGTGGACTGCAGACCTGCAGAGCTGCCGGGCCCTGCCACGTGCCAGTAACCTTTGATTCAGACAACTCTGCATCCATGCGCCTGTGATCCCCATTCAGACAGCTCTGCATCTATGTGCCTGTGATCTCCATTTACTTCTGCCTCTTCGGCCTGCAGCTACATGAGACTTGGATAACATCAGACCTGGGAACTTGAGTGTGACTGGGCTGCGATGCTTTCTTGATAATGAATTACTTCCTGTTTACACATATATGAGTATCACTAGCTTTGTTTCTCTAGACAACCCAGCCTCTCTCAGTAACTTACACTCTGTTCCCTTGAACAATATCTACATAATCTTCAGCTCGAGCATAGTATCCATCAGGGCTCAAGGCTCCCCAGAAGTTGGACCACAGCTTTCCGTGACGAGTTACCAGAGGGGCAATGATTTTCCTAAAGACAGAGAAAGGAATTACTTCATTTTTAATTACCTAAAAAGTATCTTTGAGTTACCATGTTACCTAGCACAACTCATTGATCATACATCTAAATATGCCACACACAAAAATAAAAAGGGAAGTTCTTCCCAACACCTTATTATTATAAATGAGTATATAATTTTCTATCTGAAATAGAGTAAAGGAAAAAGAAAATGCAATTGAAATGAATTTGAAAAATAACATGTACCTTAAAATTGAAAATACCTGTTATTTAATTTTTTTCTCAATGTAATTCAAAGATTTTAGAAATTATGCCCAATGGGATCATTTATTTCCATTACGAATGGGCTGGCAGATAGTCCTGATAAAGTATGCATTAAATATAGGTCAAGTTAAAAATAAATGAATAACTAAACATGGATGGGCCGAGACATCTGTGCATTATTCAACAAATAAGCCAACAACAAAAAATCAGATGCCCCGCAGTCACTGCCTAGGATCTCATGGCAAGTCCATGTGCTCAGCTCCTATCAGCACTCTGTCAGGGCTTCACACGCTGGGGCTTTCAGAGACTACCACCAGCCTTTTCTTCTGAGAGTCCTCCGGGAGCTTCAGATCATCAGCGTTTTGGTCAGCCGCCACTCTATAAATAGGTCAGTTCCCCTAAAATCATGTCCCAAATTACTTTAAAGCATGCTTTCATGTTCTATAATTTAAATACATATATATGGAACAACTAGGAGCTTCGGCAATACTGAACATTTTTCTGGCCCTTTATTTTAGAAAACAAAATACAGGATGACTGATAGAACATTCAGTCTCAAGAAAGTGGATCCTTTTAGACAAGGGTATGTTATAAATTAAAGGCATGACATAAGAGAAATCTATCATGTGCTTTTATTTTCCAAGGAAGACAACAAATTTGAAGGTTCCTTAGTATTACATCTGAAATGAAGTGAATTATAGTGCACCATCGAATTTTTAAGAAAAGATCATCCGACTCCTTCAAGAGGAAACATGGACCGAGGAAACCAGTCTCCACACACACACAAACGTAACAAAACAATTTCACAACATTCTAATTTTGTGAAGACCAGCTGCGATCTTTTAAGTTGCACATAGAAAAATTAAACACAATAGGGAATAAGTACACATTACGCAAAATAAACACTTAAGATTTATTTTTCTAAATTCTTATTAAAATCAAATATTACTAACTAGAAAATTCTACTTTCTTGTTTTAGTTAGAATACATGATATTTCAAATATCAAATTACTCTATGCATTATACTTATTATTTAATGTCAATAAGTGACGATATTCAATATTTCATAGAAAAAAAACCTTTGAATTCTATAGTGCTAGTTGATTCCTAAAATATTTGGCTCAAGAAACTCAGAAAACGCACACTAATTTGCTACTTGCTTCAAGGTTTAGAAAGGTAAAGGTAACAGCTGGGAGACGGTGCCGCCTGAGCGCTATGAAACACAAGCCTGAGATGGGAGTTGGGCTCCATACCGGGGAATTGGATTGTTAGCAGGGTTAAAACGTTAGGATAATACAAAGGGTGCTGTGCTCAATAAAGAACAGATTCATAAAACAGTTCACCAAGCAACGGTAAGCCCTTACCAAGGTGTCATAAAATAAAAGCATCTAAATATTATTAAAAAGCATATGTATATTACATATTATATTTCAATCAAATTAAGAAGAAATTAAAATAGCAAATTCAAGAAAATATTACTGAATTCCATTAGGCTGTATGAGTTCAAAATTACAACCCTGTCCCCTATATCTAGGAGAGTCCAACTGCTTTTCTTTGTCTAAAGAGCAAAATCTTATTCATATACTTTGGAAAATTATTATTACAGCAGACCTGCAATTATAGACCATTATTGTAAAGGAATGGGGCTGTATATATACAGTTTCAGAGAAGTTTCAGATTTTGAAGTAAAAACTGTGAAACAAAAAATTCTAAAAATTGACAAGTTCTAGAAAATAATTGGACTGAGTGCCCATGTTTTACTCAAAAAATGAAAAAGTTATTCTAGCACTGCATCAACTAAACATTTTATGCATTAAAGTAAGAAAACAAATTCCAATTATATATAAACATATTTAGAACTATCCTTGCAATTTGGTAAGGCATCATTAAATGTAAGATCTCAATAGTAGTAATAATAGTAGCAGTATTATTAATGAGTGAAGATTAATATCATTATGCAATGATATACAATGATAAAAATGGTAGATTTTTCATTTCAATTTAATTAAATGAAAATTGTATTGTCATATGTTGGTTACTATCCAGAATATGTTCTGTAAAAAAGTACATGATGAAATTCAGAAATTGCGAAAAGACCATATATATTTCCATTTGCAATCCTTTGATTACAAACAAGTTCCTTTTCCAATTCTGTCTTTTAATTTATACAAAAGTTGGAACAGTTAGATATAGTTTGTGTCTATCATCAGCCAATTGCTTGTCTTAATATACAGCATACCTTTCTATCTAGAAAGACTTAGAAAAGCGCATCTAAACACATTTACAGATCTTAACATAATAGTAGTTAAAATAATGCTTTGATAACTATCACAAAGTAGTAACTGTTAGTTTTATGAACCACTATATGAGCTGAGGATTTTTATTATACGACCTTTACATGGGGTGGGACCATGGACACAGATATGTACACATACTGCCTGGATGGAGGTTATATATGGTATATGACTATAGCACTAAATAAAGCTGCAGATTTGACCACGGGGTGATTTATATCTCTGAAATTTCTTTCCAATTTTAACAGTACTCAGGTTTCTAAGTCATAAGTTTTCTGTGATTTACTAAAAAACACAAAATAAAACTGAGGATAAAACAATTTAAAATTTTACTGATATCAGATGCAGCCAGTTTTTAAAAGAACAGGCCAAATACAACTGACACTCTATTTGCGATTGTAACTAATATTTATGTCATCAGCTAATTTTCTACTTTTAAAATTTAGAAATGAAAATTTATAAGGCATAAAAAATTACTCTGAGTTATTTCCCACAATTTGCTAAACTGAGACAAAAATATACAGTACGGTCCAAAGGCAAGACCCTATATATGTAAGCAGAGGGTTATTATTATTAACAATTGATACTGATTATTATATAGTACCTGTTCTGTTCCATCAGTATTTTTAAAGTCCGTGTGTTTGTCAAAACAACATCTGCGTCCACACTGAAGTAATAACTGCACTTTTCATCCTGACGGCAAAAATCCCTGTCGTTGAAAAAGGTAATAAAAATCAGAAAGAATAAGTGTGTGGTGGTTGAAAATGCTAAGACACATCTTATATACAAAATAAGGTTTCTCTTAAAGAGCTGTTATAATAGAAATAGTGAGATATCTTAAATTTTAAAATAGCCAACATATCAGCATAGATAGAGATCAACACTACAAATTTAGAACAAAATATATTACCAAACCATGAAAATTTTTAAGTCATACGTTAAAACCTCAAGCCAAATTTAATCCTTTCTGAAGGTGGGGGGGGGGGGGTAGGGAATCCACTATATTTGTCAACTTTTTAAAAATCAAGATGCTTTCTTTCTTTTGTTTGTTTTAATAATTTTATTTGGGGTTCATACAACTCTTATCACAATCCATACATCCATCCATTGTGTCAAGCACATTTGTACCTTTGTTGCCATCATCATTCTCAAAACATTTGCTTTCTACTTGAGCCCTTGGTATCAGCTCATTTTTCCCCTCCTTCCCACTCCCTCATGAACCCTTGATTAATTTATAAATTATTATTTTGTCATATTCTTATACATAAACACACTCAATTTTCAGTAAATCTTGTAGATGATGTAAACGATTCATATGTGAATACTTTTATAAATGGATTTGCATGGACTTCCTTGTGTAATAGCTACTCCCCTTTCCTTGGTAGTATTTGTAGCATTGTCATAAATGACATCTCACCCAAGACTGAGCCCCTTGTCATAAGGGAACTGTTCCCATATCTGTTATCATTGACATTTGCCGTCTCCCTTTCCCGGGCCTGAGGTCCTCTCCCTAATCATCTCAGGACTGGCTCCAGTTACCATGTTCTGCTGTGGTCAGTCTGTCTCTCACACAAACTTTATTTCTAAGTCTAAACAGAGCACCAGTAGGAACACTTATTAAAACTCTCAAAGTAATTACAGAAAATAAGTTCCATAGGGCCCTCCAATGAATAAATTATGAGACCATTAGTAAGGATATGTTTGAATTTTTAGAGGCCCATTTTCCTGCCTACCATTACATTCCCAAACCAAGTAGAGCCCATTACGCCAAGCCCTTAGCTTCCACAGCAGGGGACACTACAGTTAGTGGTAGGCAGGCATACATGCTGCCAAGATGCCCACCAGGTCTTCATCATCTTTCAGTCAATTGGCTCTCAACACGATGCCTGACTGATTCAATCTGCCATCCATTGAGTAAGTTCTTATTTTTAAAATCATCTTTTTTATTGTGTTCCTAAGCATTCCAATGGCTAAGCAAACAACTTCAAATTGCCCTTATGAGGGTTTCACATAAATACCTATCATCTATTAATCTAGATGAATAGGTAAGTAAAATGTAGAGATATCCTTCTCACCCTACAATGGGAAACATATACTTTGCACCACACACAAAGCCCAACTCTAGTAAGTCCTACATTTTCTGTGATTTACCAAAAGCCACAGCTGAAACTGGGGCTAAACCATTTTAAATTTACTAGTATCAGATAGAGTCAACTTTTAGGAGAAGAACAGGCCAAATAAAACTGACAAACACTTTATTTGTGATTTAAATTAATACTTCTAACTATTATCAGGTAATTTTCTATCCTTTTAAAAATTAGAAACAAAGGTTTATAGGGTATAAAAATTACTTTTGAGTTATTTCCCTCAGTTTGTTGAACTGAGACAAAAATACGCAATAGCTAAATGTCTGCTAAGCCAGTCTTAGTTTTTACAGTATCTTTGTGTTAGTTTTTCAGTGTATTTCTATTTAAAACCTTGCTCAGAAGTCCCATTACTACTTTGATTGAATGTGCTGATTCCTATGCATTAAAATAAAAATGTAAATAACTCCCATACATTTTAGTATATGTGCTGCCAAAGCGAGCACAACTCCCATACATTTTAAATGTAACTATATCTGAACAAAAACATAGTCTGACAATAGATACCCTGATACACTGTTGAGAGATCCAAGTTTAGCTACTACTTTGGGGAGAAAGTTTGCTTTATCTTAACACTTCTTTACTAGAAACCGTTCCAATATATTTGCACATACATTCCCATGTTTCTGGCTTCAGCTTGACTTAGATTTTCTTCTGGTCCTACAATTTTTATAGTGTTGATTTCATGTTTAGCTTTATCAAAAAATTCCTTGATGTCCTTTTCATGATAAACTTCCTGCAATATATTTAAAATATCCAAAATTAGAAAGTACTGTGAATTCAATAATCTTTATATGCACTCATATCCACCCAATGCTCTCTTACGCGTGCTATAATTATTCTTTAAGTCTAAAGTACATATTCATATTCTTTAAAGAGAAAAAACTCCAAAATTCTTTAAATATCTCCTCTTAGACGTGTCTTGACATAAATGTTTAAATCCTGGATGCTTTAAAATGTTTATGATTCAAACGGGAAATATGACAAGTAACCTAAGTATGGTAAAATACCCAGGAAAAAAATGCCATTAATTTGTTGCAATCTAACAAAAACATATTTTATGATATAAAACATTTAAATATTATTGAAAAACCATAAAAAATTACTGGTGATGGATACAATTTTGTGTAACAAATACAGGAAGAAGTTTAACAAACATTATCATTAGGAAAATAGGATGAGACAATCATCAACATAAGACTATCACAGTA